GTCTAAATTCAGCAACGGCTTCGATTCTTGCCTAGTGGGCTATGTCGGAGAGTGCCACTGTTCACTATTTCTCCTTCCCAGTCGGCTATGTCGGAGAGTGCCACTGTTTCTCCTTTGTTCGAGCTTTAATTTCGTTGCACATTGAGGTCGGTCTCTCCTATAAGTTCGTTGCACCTTGAGGTCTTGAATTCTCTCCTGATTGAGGCCTTCATTGTGTGGAAATACATCGGTCGGTCCATGCATCGCAAAATCGTTGTCTCATTCTTAGCAAGTGCGTCAGCAAGTTCATTGCCTTTAATGCCACAGTGACCAGGAATCCATTGTAGAACTTACCTTTGATGACCGTTGATCAGGAATCCATTGTAGGACCACTGTTTTGTTTTTCTGTCTCAACCAGGAATCCATTGTAGGACCACTGTTTTGTTTTTCTCTTCAGGAATCCATTGTAGGACCACTGTTTTGTTTTCTCTCTCAACATTAAGATCATTGCCTTTAATGCCACAGTGACCAGGAATTCATTGTAGAACATTACCCATTGCATTTAATGCCACAGTGACCAGGAATCCATTGTGGAACCACGCTTTGTTTGTTTTTCTCTCTCAGCAATAGAGTTTTCTACATTCCTTTATCTCAGCTGTTTTGGGTCTCTCTGTTTCTAGAGTTTTTTACATTCGTATATCTCAGCTGTTTTGGGTGAGCAAAAATCAAGATATACTTAGCTCACTTTAAATCGTCATTTTTCATCTAAATCTCACCCATCTAAGGGTTATGAGAAGGACAGCAAATGAGAAACCCGCCAATGGTATGTGGATAAGTTTGGAAACAAAATATGTAAACTTGCTTCAACATTACTTGTTTACAATGGGGGTGGGGGTGGGGGTGGGATGGGGGTTATGAAGTATGGTAAAATTAAGAAGCTTCTCTCTGAAATGTGTATCTTCATTAATACCCATAGAAAAGCGAAAATGCTTCCACAGTTTTACGTCATAGGGTAGTTTTTAAATTCAAATAAACAGTAAAATATTTCAGCGAGGGACGTTTCACAGCACAAGATCGAACCTCTCATGAACAACTCAAGCCCCACCTCCTCTATTCCACACTTTGTTAATTTCTTTTTACTCAATACTAATAAGTTTTCAACCTAGCTTAGTGTTTTGGACACTTCTCTTTGTCTTGCGTTATCTAGCATTGTCTTTGTCTTGTGTTGTGAAGATTGGCTTAACTCATTCCGAATCTCTCACTTATAGTACTCATAGAGATTTTTTCATTTCACAGACTCCATCTGCTTGAGTTCATAAAATTGTTATGCTTCCTACTAAATTATTTAAGTAGCATATAATATTCACTTTCTTAACATGTTATTCTGTTCTATTGTCAGGTCTTACCTCGAAAGAGAAGAGTAATATTACACCAGCTGAAAGTGGGGTTGGCGAATCTATTGTCTCCGCTGACTCTCCGGGAGGCGATAGTAATACCAAACGCACTCAACCGTCACAATCATTGACTAAATTAGAAGCAAATGTGTCCCAAAAACAACAACGGAACAATGGCGGTGGTCGTAAAGTGATTACAACTAACGATTGCGTAACACCAACCAGGGATTTAATGACCGATGGAATGGCTGATGAAAGAGTGAGCGACTTTTCTTCATTTATGATTGAAGTACATTTGGTGCCATATGAGTACCACTTTATGCTGTTATGTTGCATGTCCTTAGAAATGAACAGGCAGAGTATATTGTGAGTGAACAATATATCAATCCATTGGATTTTTTAGTATTTGCTATCCGAGACAACATAAGCGAGATGCGACTTTAAACAAATGGACAATGCGTTTTTAATGGCGCTGGAATGAAAGGAACGGAGGTTGGAATTAAAATTTTGGAGCACTCGGATTTGCCACTATAAAATATTCAACAGAAAATTAATACAAACTCCACTTCTTTGCCTCCCCCCTCCCCAACTCCCCTAATTTTCTTATTGGGACATTTTGCTCTTTTTTCAATGCTTTTTCATTGTTAATCTGTTTCCCCTGCCTTCCAGCGAATGCGCCTCGATGCTGAGTCTGTGACCCAATTCACAACCCTCCCCGCCCAAGATCGCATAACTCGCTATCTGGAGAGCTTGGGTGAGTTGGGATCGCCACCCAGTGTGCCCAGTGATGAGAGACGACTTCACCAGAGATCTGATCCCAACAACAGCTGCCATTTGCAAATGCTTCCCCACTTTCCACCTCCTCCGCCTGTTCCATCACCACCGCCTCAGACGTCAAAACAACAACAGCAGCAGTTCAACAACGTCGGTCGAATGCCTCCTCCATCTGAGTAATACCACACCTCTAATTTGTTGAAGTTTATTGACTTTGGTCAATTTCGGATTTTACGAACATAAAGGAGGGAATAATGTTCATTAGTGCATACCCGCACAAACTAGTTCCACTGATATTGCGCCTGGGAGGGGGGAAGTTGGGTTTCTCAAAATAGCGGCTCCAGATTACCTGTTCGCTACCTAACTAACTTGTTAAGATAACTTCTTCCAAATGACTTTTAAAGCCTAGAAGAGGCAAGAAAAGAATTTGTCGTTAACCTGATCTGATTATAGCTTGAATGAGTTATTTCCACAACTTTTCAAAGTCCTGCTTGTGATCACAAAGGTTTTATTAAATTAACGAACACTTCAGGCTAGTGTGTGCATCTTAAGATGTTTTCTCTCCTTTGTAAGTGCATGAAGAATGATACTTTTATCTCTTTGTATTCTTGCAGCCTTTACTCGATCTCAGGGGCCTTTAATTGCTATCCTAGTTTAATCGTCATTGCACAAATACGCAGGAGCGATAAGTTGGTTATATGTAGCCATTTTCCCATTTCGACTGCTCTATGACACTGCTAATTTTGCACAGTAAATGACAAAATTTTTTTCGTGTCATGTCATTTCCGACTTCCAGGTGACCTCTCCACAGCATTCAACCTATTAGTTGAAAGTCTTCGCGATTGAGGTCGAACTGAGGTTTATTCAAGACTTAGAGGCGCCAAGAATAGGGTGTAATTCGATATGCAGAGATATTTGAAAACATCTTTCTGTAAAGATCTCTTAGAGGTCAGATGCAGTTGCAGTCGAAATCTGAGTCTTGGATATAATTTCTTTGCTTTGTTCGATTAGGTGCATAGAATTACCATGATCTATCACGTCAACTTCAAGACCATTGGTTTTATAAGGAATTTCTAAACGGTTTCAGAAATCTCATGTCTCACGTGTTCTTTTCAGATTGTTCTATAAAAAACAATTTATAAATTTTAGTTCTAAATCTGCGCTTCCTGTTATTTTTGTAGGGGAAGATGGGCTCCTGTCGGTCGCTCAGCTTCGTGCTACCAGACGGTGTCTCCTTCCCAATTGCCAATTCCAACTAATCCCATGAAAACCAATGGTTCCTCTTCGTCAAATCAAGAGCCTTCTTCAATGACCAACCAATCGAATCCGAATGCTGTGGCGGTCGGAATTGCTGAATCTGCAACACCGACGGATGACGTTTATCAGGTGAGTGTCGGGTTATCTACTTTGACAGTATTGCTCTTAAACATATTTTACATTAAATTCTTTGTTCCATTTTTCCTTCTTAGCACCATACTTTCCACGTGTGTTTATCAAATTTTCCCGGACTTGTGTTCGAAATTAATTGTTTACTTATTGACTAACTTCAAAATATTTCGCATTTTCTCGCTTGTTTAATCAATATTTCTCTAACCCCAACTTGTAACAATGAAATTGATAAGAAGATGGGTATTCTATTCTGTCCCTAATTGAGTTAGTGCCATTGTGTCTAATTAACGAGATTGTAGATTTCGCTTTACTAAAAGGCCGAAGCGTGGGCATAAAGTTCGTGTTGACCAAAACCTCCCTTCCTAATACAACTAAAGTATCAGCTTTAATCTATCCCATGCTCGATGACGGACGAGTAATTGAACAAGTCTTATTGATTTAATGTAAAAGTGGGGCAATGTTTTGGAGGTCTGGTTGAGGTAAATTCAAGAAAATGCCGAGCAGTGACGAATATTGAAAGGGTTGGACAATACACACACCGTACGTGCACATAGGGCAAAAGAATGGGAAGAATTATAATGAACTCCTCCTTATGGGTATCAATTGAACATTTTGTGTAAGATTTACGTCAAATGGCAGGCTTTATGTTAGCCATCATCAGTCCTTTATTTGACTTCGGGCTTCACAGAGGAGAGGAGAAACATCAAAGTGAGAAAAAGTGAAGAAGAGGAATAGAAGAGTGATTCACATAAGTAAAAAAAGACAGACACAAAGGCAGAGAAAAGGCAAGATGAGTACTGCCGAAGTGGTGGAATACGAAATACAGTCGGGTCATGGTAGTTTGAAGGTAAATGCCGGTTTATAGACTTTTTGCCCAAGGTGCACCACATGGAGGTAAATCACATTAGGTTAGATTATGGGTTTCAATTTGACATTAGGTAAGAGAGTCTGGAGACCTGAAATCGTCAAGATGTCTTTAGTGGAGGGATAACTGAGGACTATACTGTGAAGAGGACAGGGGGAGGCAGCCGGAATAGTAACATATTTCCAGGCATTTCTCAGCGTTGTTCAGATTTACGAACACGCGTTTCTTTTTGTGCAACAGTTGCTCCGTGTATTATATGACCTTTAAAAAGTCATCGGGTGAATCAAAATTGGAATTAAAACGGGATTTTAATGAACTGCAATCTGTAGGTAAGAACTGCCGTCAACACAGTGTCATTGGCATTCTTCTTCAAGAATTCTAAAAATACTAACCTAGTCATTCTACTTACCCTTAACTCTCGCTCTTGATAATGTTAATTGGTATATCATTAGTGAATACGTATCTAAACTAATCGTAACGTTTATTTCAGGCACCAAACTTAGCCCAGAACAATGCTAGCAACAGCAAAAACGGCATGGATGAAGTCACCGAACAAGCGGAACTCACAGCCTGTCTTAACAATCTCTCTCTCGAAGCCAACCAGCTTTCCTCCACATGTCCCGACCTGGCCCCCGAGTTGTCCGCTCTCTCCCAACAACTCTCGATGTGTCGCAGTCAAATTGAATCTTGTCTACTTCGAGATGGTGCTGAAGTCAGTCTAGAAGAGCAGATACATGAGGATCAGTGTTTGGCTGGAATAGCCACCGCCCTGCGCCACATTAAACAATCCTTGTCCGGAATGCGGGCCCGACTAGAGGTGTCTGTGGAGCAGGAAGGAGTACCACCTACAGTCAACCCCACTCCGGTTTCCACTTAGCAACAAGATTAAATCGTGTGTGTATGTATATATTGCCAGCATGCGTCAGTCCCCATCCAACTTCGCATTTACCGATGACTTTCCTTTTCGCACACAGTCCCCTCCTCTCCCATTCGATTAACTTACTTCGACTATATATTCTCTCGTGTTCCACTTTTCTCTTTCCCGTGCAGTAGAAATATGATTATAGCAAGTATCGTGACAATTCTTGTGTGTGAACATGTGTGATTGGCTGTTTGAGATTGGAAAAGTGATTTTATCTCTGTACGCGATAATAAATTGCTTGTTTATTGAGTACTGGCTTGTTTTATAATCGAATGCAGATGGTTTGACTAACGTTCTCCCATCCGTTGGGGAGTTATGTATTGGTATCAAATGGCAGGCTTTATGATAGTCATCATGGGGTGTGCGATAGACTTACCTCCACGTGGTGCACCCTGGGCAACGTATACTCATACGGCAAAAAGTTTATTAACTGGCAGTTGACTTTTGACTTCAAACTACCATCACCCCACTCTATGCCATATTCGACTATTTCACACTACTCACCTCGCCTTTGTTCTACCTTTGTGTTTGTCTCTTACATCTTTGAAACACTCTTCTGTTCCCCCCTCTCGAGGAGGAACATCAAAGTGAGAACAGTCGAAAGGGAGAAGAGAAGCGCTATTCACAGTTTGTAAGAGACAGGTACAAAGGCAGTGAAAAAGGTAAGATGGGTATTGTGGAAGTGGTGGAATATGACATAAAGTCAAGGGATGGTAATTTGTAGTCAAAATCAACTGCCAGTTTATAGACTATTCGCCATTTGAGTATACGTTGCCCAAGATGTGCCACTTGGTGGTTAGTCTATCGTACACCCTAAGTTGGCACATCCACCGGAGGAGAAATAGATTAGGGG